AATAGATGATTACTCTGTTTTATTTTCATCTTCTATTTCAAAACCTCTAGCTAACCCTAAATCGCATATTTTCAAATCACAATTTTTGTTGACTAAAATATTGCTTGGTTTCAAATCTCTATGCATTACATTTGCTGAATGAATATAGAGTAATCCTCTAAGTGTTTGATACATAAAATATTGTATATGTTCATCAGTTAATTCTTATCTAGAATATATAACTCTATGTAAATCAGTTTCCATCAGTTCAGTTATTATGTAAATATCATTATATCCAGTTCTTGATTCAGGTTTTAAAATATCAACTAAGCTTATAACATTTTCATGTTAAAAAAACTAAAGTAACTTAATTTCTCTCACAATTCGTTTTGCATCTATGAGATCTTCAAATGCATTTTAAATCTTATAATTGAAGTTTTAATACTTTTTTAATCGCAACCTTTTTATTTTTAACTAAATCAACACCTGAACATACAACTCCATAGGCACCATGTCCTATTTGTTTATGACATTCATAGCGCTCATCGACAACAAATTGTGTTCCTTTAATTAAAATTATATTTACCCCCAATTTCATATATATTTCTTCCATTAATACTCTTCTTTTTTTGGTGCTTGGTATTTAAGTTAATTTACTACAATGGTTGAGATTTCATAATCAAATTATTAACGGTATTATAAATAATTAAATAATGCAAAATATTATTGATGACATCTATTATATTATTTATAATATTAGAGATCCAGAAATACCTCAAACATTAGGATAATTAGATGTTATCTAAAAAGAATTTATTAATATTGAAGGCTCTAGAATAACCATTTATTGGAAACCTACTGTGAAACATTGTTCATTTGCTTTATAAATTGCACTTTCCATTAGAGTAAAGCTTTCTCAAGAATTATTAAAGTAAATTTGAATAATAAATTTAAGTTACAAGTCTTATAAACTACATATAATAGTTAAGGATGATCTTCACAATTAAAAATCTTAAATAGACAAATAAGTTAATGATAAAGAACGATACTTGGCAGCAATGGAAAATGAATATTTGATGAATTTTATTAATTAATTAATTAATTGATATATTTCACATAAAATAATGCTATTAATTTTTATTTAAGCTTAATAAAATTTATTTGATCATGTACCTCTCTTAGAAAACATAATTACGATTAGCTAATTTAATTACTATTATTGCTGAAGGGGAAAAGAAGACAGAAATATTCAGATAAGTATTGGCTGAACAAAAAATGTTTGAGCCTTACACTGCTTTCAAAAGATTAGATTAATTGAGAACTGGAGAATTAACTACTTCAGATTTGGTTGATTTTTTAATGGACAATAAAATAAATGCATCTAAAGCCTAAGCAGATTATTTATTTTAGAAATTAGATTAAAATAGAGATGGTAGAATTACATATCCAGAGTAAAGCAATATTTCTATGAGTCTAGTTTTGTTAAGTCAATACTACCTAAAGAAGACTCAAGACTGAGGTAAATTGCATCTCTAAGGGATTCATATGCATTAGAAATTAACATGTTATTACCTACTGAAGTTGAATGGGGACTTTCTAAAGTCTTTTATTAAGAAATTTAAAATTATAAGTAATAATTGTCTTTTTGAGATTAGTTCAATTACAACAGCATAAGAAATTTTGACTGGAAGCGCAGATTTTACATCTCTTGATGCATTTAGATGTATTGATCAAACATTTTTAGGATATATTACAATTGAAACGTGAGATTATTTTATATATAATTTAGACTTTCAGATTTCTTGAAATATAATGGAGTTAGATTGTCATTTGATGATTTACTTGCTTTTTTTAGAGTTGTAGATAAAGATGCAGATGGAAAGATCAATTATTCTGAATTATTAGAAGCAATAACTTTTACACCAGATTATTTTAAATAAGAAAGATAATTTACAAATGAATTAAGAAACAGTAGAGAAAAAATAATTTAATTGGAAAAAGAGAAAGAAGAATTAAATGCTCTCATAAGAAGTAAAGAAAGAATTGAAGAACTCAAAAAAAGCAGAGAATATTTAGAATAATTGGAAGAACTAAAAAAAAGTAGAGAAAGAATTGAACAATTAGAGGAGTTAAGATAGAGTCGTGAAAGATTGGAAGAACTCAAAAAAAGCAGAGAAAAATATGAAGATCTAAAAAATAGTAGAGATAATTTATAAGATTTAAAAAAAAGTAGAGAAAGATTAGAGGATTTAAAAAAAAGTCGAGAGAGATTAAATTAATTGGAAGAGTTAAGGAAAAGTAGATAATAAATGGAAGAATTAGAAGAATTAAAAAAAAGCAGAGAAAGACAGGCTTAAATTGAAGAATTAAAGAAAAGTAGAGAACGCTTAGAAGACTTAAGAAAGAGTAGAGAAAAGCTATAACAACTTGAATATGAAAGAAAAAATTAAGAAAAAATGGAATAGCTTAAAAATTCTAGAGAAAGGATTGAAGAGCTTTAAAAGTAAAGAAAAAGAATGGAGGAATTAAAAACCTACTAAGAGGTTTTAGAATTGTAAAAAAAAGAAAGATAAGAGATGGATTTAAAAAGAAGTCAAGAAAGACTTTAAGAATTAAAAAAGAGTAGAGAGAGAATAGACTAGATAGAGGCATTGAGAAAGAGCAGAGAGTAGGAAAAAACAATTCAAGAGATGAAATTAAGTAGAGAAAAAATAGAATAGCTTAGAGAAAGTGAACTAAGAATTTAGCAATTAGAGAATTAGCATCGAAACTTAGAAAGAAGTAGATAATTAGAGAAAATAGAAAGAGATTTAGAATATGAAAGATAAAGGAGTTAGGAGAGAATAAAAAGATTAGAATTAGAGGCTGAAATTGAAAGAAAGGAAAGAGAAAGAGCCATAGAAGATGAAATAAATTTTGTTTAAAGTAGAATTTATGATACACCTAAGAGAAGATATTGAATCTACATTTTAGATAATACATATTAAACTTATTATATAATTATTCTGTGTATAAGTTTAGAAAATCAATAAATAATAATAATAAAAATATTTTAAATAAAAATTAAGTTAATGTAATAAAACATTTAATGTCTCACTTTACCATAGCACCATCAACCCATTAACCATTGATTACCTCTCCATTTTTATTAGTGAATTTCCCATATCCATTTTATTTATTTTTTTTCCATTCCCCAACATAAATTGAACCATCAGAATAATGAAATTCTCCTTATCCTTCTTTTTAATCTTCAACCCAATAGCCTAACATTATTTGTATTAATATACCTTTGTAATATCTTCCATCAGGAAACCAAAATTCTCCATGACCATGTATTTTATTGAATTATATTTAGCCCTTATATTTTCTTCCATCATTCCATTTATATTCTCCATCGACCATTTATCCATTTTCAAATAAACCTTCAAAGATAACATCAGCCATTATCAATTTTCCTTTTCCATGCCTTTTCCCATTATTGAAATCTCCTTCGTATGTTTCTCCATTAGCCAAAATTTCTTTACCAAAACCATGCTAATAGTAATAAGCTTAATAAAATTTACTTTTAAATCATTTAAGAACCTTCCATCATAAATACCTCCATCTGAATACCAATATTTTCCTTTTCCATGTTATCTGTCATCCAACCACTCACCTTCCTTATTAAGTTTAGTTTTATACATATGCATCTCCATCAGGGTATATCAATCTACCATGTCCAGATTTGGTTCCTTTATTAAATTAGCCCCAATAATGAGTCCCATCATCCCAATAGATTTCTCCATATCCTTGAAAGAGATCATTTTTTAAGCCTCCAACGTATATTGAACCATCTTCAAATTAAATTGGAGGTGTAACATCTAATCCTTCATTTGTTATTGATTAAGGAATTTAATATTCTCCTAATTTAGTAAGCATTTCTTTCACTAATCCATTATGTATGACAGGAATTTGAACTTATTGATTTTGAATTGGGATTGTTGGTTACAATAGTTGGGCTCTGATTTCTTGATTTTATTTAGTTTATTAGCTTCTAGGTGGTAGGTTTTCAGCATGTGAGAATATTGGTTTATTAGGGACATTTCTAATTTCTTTGTTAGTTTCTAAATTTTCATCTTTACAACAAGATCCTCCCATAAGAATTCGTTAATTATTTTATTATATTAATGATTAACATATAACCTAGGACAAGACAAGAAAGAGTACTTAAATTTAATTATTATATAGGAAGCTTTAAGAGATAAAGATAGAATAGAGAAGAGTAGGATCGATTTGAGAGGTAATTTAAATCTATAATAGTAAAACAGTTGGATTTGAGGCTAGGGGATTAGGAGTTGGAACATTGATTCATCAGGCACCTCCTTAATCCACTTTGTATGTTCCAGGTATGAATAGAGTAATTCTAGAAAATGAAAGATTTGATAAAGATTTCGCAGTAGCAGACAAAAAGCAAAGAGAACATGAAGTTTGGCAAAGAGAAAAGATAATAGAAAGAAAGAGATTGGAAGGATTGGATAGAGAAACAAGAAAATGGGATTATTAAGAAAAAGTGGAAACCAAAGATTAAGTAAAACTAATGAGTCATACATAATAATTAACTCAAGGGAAAAGGAATTCAAACGGGTAAATCAGGAATTAATTGTTTTGGTTAGGCTTGCTTATAATCCAATTACTTTAAAATATGATAACAGTGAATAAGGCAATTAATTGAGATAATTTGATGATAAAGCCAAAGTGAGATAATTTGTAAGGGCTCATAATTTAGATACTAGAGGAAATACTTGTTTTAATATATTAACTGGTGAATAAAGAGGAGGAGTTGATCAAATAGTACCTAATCATTTGCGATCAAATTATTAATAGAGACTAAGAGAAGCAGATGAATAATAGAACATTAAACACTATGCTATCTAATAATAGTTATTGAATTAATATGAATGATTATTAACAACAAATATGAAAGTAATTTTATAGAATTTACAAAAATCTAATATCAAAAGTAAAAAAATGATAAATAATAGCATGCATAAATAAATAAACTTAATAAAAAATCATCTTTATTTTTTTTATGGTTATTATTATTATTGTTAAACTTTTTATTTCTTTTAAGGTGGTTGATCATTTTCATCATCATCTTCATCATCTTCATCATCATCTACTAATTCTTAATCATCTTCATCCTCATCTTCAATATCATCATCATCATCATCATCATCATTATCATCATCATCTTACTATTTCTTAGACACTTTTTGTTTTTATTATTTTTGTTAAGTTTATTTCTTTTGTTTCTGTTAATTATCATCATCATCATCATCATCTTCATCTGGAATTTAATCTCTTTGTTATAAATAAGCCTATATATCTATACTGGAATGAGAAGAGGTTTAGATACCTATAATATTTTAATGTTAATTACCATCATCTTCAATTTCTTCGTCTTCTTGTAATTCTGAGTCAACTTCAAATTCCTCATCATTTTATTCATCACTTTTCTTCTATTCTTCATTTTTCTTAATTTTCTTTTTAATTTATTCCTCTTCTGAATCCTGCTCAAATTGATTTGTATTCTTTTTAGCGCTCATATTAATTATTAATAATTATTTTATAATTAAATTGATTATATATATTATTATTGTGTGATTCATTAAATTCTCATTTACTTTCAAGCATTAATTTTATTTCTTGATCATCTGTTACATCTCCAGGAGTTAGATTTCTCTTATAAATCAAATATATCTACTTACCGAATTTTTGCAATTAGGTGAAGCACCTTTTGATAGTAAGTATTATACTAATTTTTTGTCTCTTTTAAAAGCTGCATAGTGGAGAAGAGTATCATCCATCTAATTAAAAGATCCATTATTTCATACTTGATTTATTCTTTTATCAATTGTAAATGTTTAATCAGATAATTTCTATTCTATTAATTTTGTCAATTTTTCATAATTCTGCATATGTAATTAAACAACCAAGTTATTTGAAGGCAGATTCTAATATTATAAATCAATATTTTACAGATTATTCTTATCCCATGTTATTATATTAAATTAATTAATTACAAAAATAATATCAAAGATTGTAAAAAATCATTCCTACTATTTAACATTCACAATTTTGTTTAAGATATTCCATTAGAATCAGAGTGACCGTTCTAATTTTGATTTTAATTGAAGCTTAATGCACTTTACAAATTTATGTTTCAATTTATCAATTAATATCATAGAAATACTTTTCCTACTTCTTAGATATTTAATATAGAAATTAAATTAAAAAAGAAGTGCATAAATTCAATAATTTCAATATCTAGGCAAATTAATGGGTTTTTATATTAACTTATCTCTCTAATTGGATTGATAATTTTAAGTTGTTAATCATGATGGACTATGCTTTATGGCTTATGAATTCATTAAGATTTTGCAGTTGAAATAATCAAATAGATATTCGAATCATTTCGTTCTGAAATTTTATCATTTGAAAGTCTCATCAAATAGTTAAAAAACTTAATTTACTATGATATTTCAACATTGATTCTTAGTTGTTTGTTATTAGTACATTTACAAATAAACAAGAAAACTAGAAACATGGTTACTATAAAATGTAATTTTAATCTAATAAGTGATATGAATAATGGAAATTACATTAAATTAGAATATAAATTAGAATGAGCAAAAATAAATTTGATATCACAAGCACCATGAAATTTAATCAGTGTTACTTTTTCATATTTATTTTTGCTTTTTTTTTAATTTTTTTATGAAATTGGTTATTACTTTTGTTAAAAGTCTTTAGTATTACTGTGAAATCAATATATATCATTAGATAAAATTAGAAAACAAGATCGAAATAGAATATGTTAAAAAATGATATTTGGTATAATCTTTAATAAAATATGATTATAAATCAAGATGAATAAATTTGTCTCATATTCTTATTGTTATTTAAATTAACTATAAAATGGCATTGGCGTTTGAATAATCAATTGATTACTCTTACATTAGGTTACCTTTCGAAGTTATTGTTAAATGTATGTATAATCTTGGATTTTAGAATTTAAGAGTAAAAGAAAATAATTAGAACATGATCTTACAACCACCTTAAGTGAAATTTCTAATTAAAAATATTATAAAAGAACCTAACATCTTTTGAATAAGAAATTATTATAGAGATTAATACAATAATTAAAGATTTGAAAAGTAAATCTATCAAGGTTGCTTATAAATTTTGCCAACAAAATTCTAGTAAATACAAAAAATTCAATAGAACATTTTAAAACGATTTAGTGTTTTAATAGTATATTGAATATTTGAAACAAAATGTAAATCTGGCCATAAGAGACTACCTAATTCATAGGAATGAAGAGAGCATTTTTAAAGCTATGGGATGTTTAATATTTATAAAAGAAAAGAGTATGCCTTCTATTTACTAATAGTATTTTGATGAGAAACGATGGGATATGTTAATTAGATAATTTAAATAAGAATTATATAATGTTTATTGTTATCCTAAGGAATCTCCTTTATTAAGCTGTATTAAATGTGGAATTACTAAACTAAAAACTTAATATTGTGATTAAACAAATTACTAATAAATCAATAGATGTCCTATTTGTAATAAATAAATGCAAGAATTATCAAAGGACTTGCTAACAACATAAAAATTAGGATCAACTTGGATTTTCAGAATTTCAGGAGAACTTATGAATGAAAATAATCCACCTATGATGTTATCTAATAATTAAGTTTACAGTTAGAAATCATTATTATAGAAGAGTGAATAATAGAATGGATATGTGTATTGTATAGTAAAAAATAGATATTAAAAATAAATGAATGCGTTAGAGTATTTTTAACTTGATAACTTATTAATTCAATAGATAACAAATGAATTTCATATTATAATCAATTAAATCTAGACAACCAATTACATCTGTCTTAATAAAAGCGTTCAATAAGTTTATTATTATATCTAGGAAATTCAAATAGATCCATATATTAGTGAATAGTTTTAGGATTTGGAAATACACATGAAAAATTCTTTCCTCTTCTTTTGACTTCTTCTACAGTGTGAATAAGCATATTAAAATCATTTTAAGATAATTTGTTTAAACAATTTGAAGTATTAATATTTGGGATTTCTTTTATATTCCTTTGATTATATTTAGGAGGAGATGAAATTTTTTAGTTATTCTTATCCCAAAGAGGCACTCCAACTAGATGTAAAACATCTGATATTAACGAAGTCTTAATCTTTTTATCTAGGGGTGAACTAGAATTAAGAGATGGTGAAACATTAACTTCTAATACCCATGGTTTTAGATTTTCATCAATCAATACATCGAATCCATATAATTCAAAATACCCATTTCTATGTTCTTGAGATTTAGCATTGCTATCCAACATAAATGGTTCTGTTGCAATACATGTTTTTAGAACTACATCTTTAATTCTATTAAATAGTTCTCTTGAATCAATTCCTAATTCATCTAATTTCTTTCTATAAGCATGATGAGACCACTTTGATCCTTCATCATCTTTTTAAGTATTTTAATTCTTAACAAAATTGGGTGATAATTTATTCACTGCAAAATTGGTTAAATGAATATACCTTTTAGTTAGATCCTTTGAATTTGTAGAATATTTCTGAGTAGCAAATCTTACTAAACCATCCTTATACATATACACTCTCAAAGGATCAAAACATGATATTAATACATATACTCTTAAATCATATTTAAATCCATTTATTAAATGAGGATTATAAATATAATCCATTATTAAAAAGTTTTTATCTTTTTTAACCTTTGACTTCTTGCTTACCATTGTTATACCTCTTCCTCTAGAATCTGCACATGGTTTTTTGATCCACAAAGTATCTTTTTATGCAGATTCTTAAGCCATTATAAATCTATCATAATCATATTATAATAAATAAGTATTTGGAATAAAATTATATTCTTTAGGGTATTTTCTTTTAAATTTACTTAAATTTATCCATAATAAATCTTTTCTACCCATATTCCAACATCCAGGAAAATGATTGATTTTCTAATATCTATTCATATTTCTCAATGTTGTTTTATTACCAATTCCCCATTAAACATTCCATTCTTCATCTTCATCATCTTCATCTATTCTTTTAAAACCTGCCCAATCAAATGATGTTAATACACATTTATATGGAGCAGATCCTAATACTTTGCATGTTAATGAATATTTCTTAATTTCTTCTTCTGTCATAGGTCTTGCATTTACTAAAGGTCTTTTATCCTCACAAACAGGAGGGTATTAAAAAAAAATAGTTGGTTCAGTGTTCTTAAAAAATGGTAATTATATTATAGGCCATTTCTAAGGTACTTCTTCATTAAATACTACATTAGATTGACTATACGATCTACCCTATATAAATTGTTGTTATTATGATTATTATATTTATTGTTGATTTTGTCCATATTATTAACTTAATGGAGTCTAAATTACATGACTTTAGAATAATCTTCTACCTTATATTGGAGATTTCTATCTCTAATTTGAATTTCTTCTTTAAATAGCTGATTATGAAAGTGAAATGTCTCCTTTAAGTTATAATTTTTATCTCATATATAAAATTTAATAATAATTAATAATCAAAATTAATAATTTTCTTTTCTAAATTACTATTATCCAGCTGTTTTATAATGAATTTACTAAAATTTTTTTGCAATTTTTGCTTTCTAAATTGCAATATGATGAGACAAAATTTAACAATGTCTTTAATCATTATAACTATTATTTATGATATTGCTTCCATTATTTGAGTCAGCAATTTATTTCATCTCTCTCCTTTATTTTAATAAGACTGATACATCTTAAAATTCCATAGGCTCAGCTATTGGACCTAAAATAAAATCATCAATATTTACTGCAATCATGTAACTCTGCATGCTCAGTATGTTTTTAAGTTGGTGATTCCAAACCCATATCTTATATAAAATTAACCTTTATTCTATCATTTATTTCTTAAACAGGAGATTACATAGATGCTAAAATTGAAGCTGCTGAACATTTTTTTGATACTCTTAATTTAGAATTGGTACTACTATTTAATCTTTTTTTTTCTGAATTTTTAGCTATTGGAGATAGGTTAGACTTATTCTTTAACATTCTTAATGTATCTGATCCGGTTTCTTCCATTATTGTTTTTAAGAGATTTGATATTTTTTCTTAAGCTGCCTATTCTTTTGTTGCTTAAGGAACAAAATCTGTTTAAGATTATTAGGTTTATGATGAAGGAATGGGAAGAGATGTTAAGGACTATTATTATGAATAAAACTAAGATGAGTATTATGACTCAATTGGAGAATGATAATTATGGAAAGAGGATTTAAATTATTGTAACTATTGTTATTATTGAGATTAATGTAGAGAATACTCTTTAATTTCATAGAATGATTTAATCTGTCTAATTTTTAATATTGAAGTAATTTTTCTAACTAATAATGTTACTCCTTAATTAAATAGACATTCTTATTATTTTTTCTTAATGAATTAAATTTCTTCATCTGAATCTGAATCAACTTTATTAATTTAAGTACTATGATCACATTTTTCTTTTTAAAAATATTATGATTAACAATTAAAGTTAAATATTCTTTTGTTTTAATCAGTTTATGATAACCATTATTCAAATGAAGATTAGTTCATTTAATTTGATTAAGTTGATTATAATTAATTTAACTATTAATAATCTTATTTAATTTATTAAAATTAAATTTCGCAGGTTACATAAGAATCTGGTTTAAATTTAGTTTCCTCATTGTTACTAATTTAAGTTGGAATTCTTAAGTTTGCTGTGTCTTCAGAATATTAAAGAAAACATTCTGTAATTCCTGTGGCATTTTCAATTATTCTAATATCAGGCTAACCTGCTTCAATCTCTTCTTCAACTCTAATAAAATTAGTATTAATCTAATTATTCTATTGAATCTAAGTTGGTTCTGTAATAGGAACAGATAATTATGATCTATTACTAGTTAGAGCAAAATCTTATTAAATATTAATCATTTCATTTTATTTTAACTAGACATCTTAAGTTTCATTCTATTTTTCCATAATTTGTTAAATTTCAAGTTAGAATCTATTTGTATCTACTGAATTTTATGTGCCAGAACAGGGTTTACTTAATTCAATATTATCAAAATTTAAAGCTTGAATAATCTTTGGAATTTCAATAGCATTTAATTTACTTTCAAATCTTTCTCCTAATTTATTATCTTATTCTTATATATTGTTATATTTAGATTGGCAACCAAATACATCAATAATATTTTCCTTATTATTTGTTGTATATTTAAATTAAATTGGAGTTATAGAATCAGGCTTATTTAATTTTAATATTAATTGATCTTTATAATCTTCTTCCCCATTAGATTTAATTGAATTTCTCTCTTTATTTTAAATATATTATTCATTTGATCTAACTGAAAATCTTTCCTTATTAAAATCTAAATTGGATAAAATTCCATCTTTGCCACCTATTTCATTTGAAGTTACTGAAAATCTTTAATTTTCTGATTATCTTTCTTTTTTGATTTCTTCAATATTTACTTAAAATTTATCTTTATTTTCATCATTTGTATTTGTTGAATATCTTGCTTTTTGTAAGAATTCACTTCTTCTACTGATTCTTCCTGAATTTTTAGTTTTTTATATTGAATCTTCATTTAAATATTGTTATTACAACATTTATTAAAGAGGCAATTAATATTCTGATGTTACTGATTATTCTACTTGATAATATGGATTTTGTGATTATACAGGTGATGTTTATTATATTATATCTTAAATTTCATATTATTCTTATTGCATTCTTCCTGAATTATTAAGATTATCTGTTTTTTATTATTGATAATTTTAAGAATTATTTTAATTATTATATTATTGATAATTTTCTTGTTATTGTTTTTATAATTGTATTGTATTTTCATCTAATAATGAAACTTAAATTCCTATATCCAATGTTGTACTACTACGTATAGAACGTAGCTTATTAATCCTATGATTTAATCTATTGTTTGTAGAATCTCTTCCAACACTTACTCTTTAATCCAAGAATTATTTAAATTCTACTGATTTATTTCTCAAATTACCAGAACTTTAATCAACATCTGATTAATACTAACTTTCATATTTAATATCTTTATTAGATTCATCAACATTAGTTTTTAATTGTTAATCAATAAATTCTCTAATTTAATTGATTCTACTGAATATATTTTATTTATGTGCACTATTTTCTATAATTTTCTATTCTGATTAACATTTTTATATTTCTTACTTTTTTGCAGATCTCTTTTTGAGTTCTTAAAATGATTCTATGATCTAATTTGCTATAGGATCATATACTATTTATTTTTAATTACATGTTTCAACTTACTTTTAATATTTATTAATAATAGTAGATAAAGTCAATTCTTCTGTATGTTATTTTTTGGCAGAACTTTAATATTATTACTGTTATTATTATTAAGTAATTTGAGACTAAAATTGATAATAAATTGATTTGTTTTTTTCAGGAGTTCCTTGATTATAAAGTGAATCTACTAAGTTACGTATAATGCTTTTTCTTTCACTAGTTCTTGATCTTTATTATGATTATTAGTTATTTTGTCTTGGTTGAAATGTTTGAAGTAGTTTTTCTTTTTCCTATCTCCAATAGACTGATTTACTCTTGTATTAATTTTTTAATTGTTCTGATAGCATGTTAGACATTACCATAAAAGAAATCATCCGTTAAATAATTTATTTATAATTTATGTAATAATAAGAAATCAATCATGCACTAAAAAATCCATTTTAGCCAATTTTGAAAAAGGTTTTAAAGGTTGATGAAGAATTAGAAAGATTATCATCAGAAACATTCTACAATCCTTTTGATGTGTTGTATTTGGGAATGGAAGCTACAGATGAAGATATTAAGAAAATGTTTAATTCTTTCTCAAAATTATTACATCCAGATAAATGTCAAGATCCAAGAGCTAAAGACTGTTGGTAAATAGTCGATTAAGCTTATAAAACATTAATGGAACCAGAGAAAAGAAAAGTTTATATAAGAATTATGAGAGAAGCTAGAGAGAAAACTGAATTTGAAAGACTTAGAGAAAATAAAAGAAGAGAAAAAACTGGAGTTGCTCCTTTACCACGTAGAATTTTAAATTAATTTATAAGCTGATACTTTTGAAAGTGATTTTTAAAAATAATGCAAGAATCTATTTAGTGAAATAGAAGACAGAAAATAACATCTTACTAGATTAGAATAATCATAAAAAAGATACAAATTAGATGAATATGAAAGAAGAAAAATGTTAGAATAATATAAAGTTTTGACTGAAGAAGAATGGGAAAAGACTAGAGATGAAAGAGTTAATAAATGGAGAGAATTTAATAATAAGAAAACTGCTATTGGTACCAAATAATCTAATAAAGTATTCATTTCATTTTCTATTTTTAGGGTATCAGACCTCCTACAGAAAATATAGAGTCTAGACCACTTGAAGTTATAACTAAAAGAGGAGATTTTAAAAATATTAAATTGGATTGATCATTTGTTTTTAATTCATATGAGACAATAAATTTATCAGAAGAAAAATTTTTATAGCAATCAAGCATTTCTTCATTAAAAAATAATATTGCTATTATTTTTAATTGTATTATTATTATGAGTACCCTAAACTTTTATCAATTTACTTAATTTAGTTTAATAATAATTGCTTAGTTATCGAAATTCTCTGGGTTAGGGAGAACTTTTTGTTGATTAACTATATTGTTAAATTGGTTGACGTGCAGATTGTAATTATGAAGGCATTCGACTTTAATTTTTATTATTGTCTTTTATTTCTTTTTGAAGTTGAACTATTTTACTGGAATTTTCCTCTTCTTTTTTTAACAATTATAGAAGCATTTCTTGATTTTACTCTTATATTTGAGTTTACTTTTTTAGTAATTCATGAATGACTTAGGTTTTTGATTCTAATTCATTTTTTTGGTTAGAAATTGATTATTTAAATTGCATAATTTCATTTTCCAAATCTTAATTTTATGGAACTTTCTTATCATTAAATCTAATATCTTCTAAAATTATCAATGATTAAACTAATTCTAATGCATCAGAATCACTTGACAATTTTAATAAATGTTGGTAATCCTATCCCATATGAGATATCACTAATCGCCAATACTTTTATAACTCTTCTATCAATTCCTCATTCTTTATTTAATAATTATATACTTTATGATGACTATCAGCTGTATCTGTATTATCATTTTCATACATAATTTTTATTTATTAATTTTATGATTGTTAAATAAATACATCCTTAATAAATGTTGATAAGACTCTAAAGCTATTTTTAAATTACATAGATTTAATTTAGATAAACAATATTTTTATAAGATGATAATTTCAATTTTCCTTCACACATAATACTCATGATATGGTCTCTCTTCTTTTCTGATGTCATCATAAATATATTTTCTTGGTTCATCAGTAACTTATACTAAATATTCTCCTCTTTTCTTTCTTTCTAATTTAAAGGCTGAAACAAATAAATCTACATCTTTTTCTTCCTCAGGCCAAAATTTTATTTATTCTAAATTTATTTAATATTTATACTTTTCTTTCTTTGTAAATATTCCCTACAGAAGTTATTGTAATATTTATAAGTAAAGTATAAATTAGAAATATATTTAGGATGATATAGAACATTCTCTTATTATAATGCATGAATAATTGGACTTTCCATTAATACCATATCTGCATAGTAAGTTCCTGTAAACATTTTCCCATTAAAATAATGCAATGCCTTCATCATTCGATAAATATTAGCATCTACATGATTATTATCAAGCTAATGGCTTATCTCATTATTTATTAAAGTCATATTCATCAAATAATTGAATTTGTTGTATTCTAATTTACTGAAAGATTCAAACCACTTCTCCATATCGAATTCATCATTTGTTACAGCTTACTTAGTCAATTAATGCCACACTTATAATGAGCCTCCAAGGCGTTCATAAATTTAATCAATCTCCTCTCTAAATTAGTTTCTAAGCTTTACTATGTAAATATTCCATCTATCTAACTTTTAATCTATTCTTTATTAATATCAGAAATGTCTAAATGCAATACTGTATTTAACTCAATATTCATCATCTCCATCATATCCCTGTTAAAAAATTTACTATTGCTAGATTCAATTACCAAAGGAAAATGATTTCGAATTCCATATGGATTATATGTTCTTAATATTAAATGATCAAAGAAATCAATTGTCTCTGCATCATATTTATAGTATTCTAATAATTTGTCTATGTTCATTAAAACTAAAGAAATCTAATGCTTCTTATTGCTACTCTTATCAAACCCTGAAACATAATTAAGTACATCAAAGAGAAAATCTATTTACTATTAAGCTACATTTTAGTAAGATAATATATACCAGCAATAGTGCTATTAATTTTAATAGGATTATCAATTTTATCTATTTCAATTTATTGAATAAGATCCATCATTAAATTTAAACATCCTATACATTCTTCATCTTTATATATTAATTTTGCCAATTAAAAAAAGTTATTCTCAACATTTAATGAATGAGAGGAATTCATTTATATCTATTTTGCATCCTCTTCCCAAAATTCTAGTTCTCCTGAATCCCAATCCAATTTTGTTAATTAGTTTCCTTAATTTACATTTACTTATAATTCCTATTTAATATTCTCAGATAATTAATCTCTAATAAATTAATTAAAATAAATGTCTAAGTATTAAGGCAAATATTTTCTTAAAGCAATTTAAAGTATTTCTTTATTTGTGACTAATTTTTGTTCAGATACATATCTTATTATTTCCATCCTCATCTAAAAGAAAAATGATTAAAAATTTATATGCGTATTATCTATTATTATTGAATTTTTGCAAGTATTTCTTAAAAACCAACTCTTACCAATCCCTTTTGCTCCAACAACAAATACAGTATTCTTAGAGTTCACCTATTATTTAAATATATTTTCTTCATAAGATATAAAATGTTTTAATTTTTCTATTTCCAAAGACCTCTAAAAAAATGGCCAAACTATAGGACCTTCTAAAGACCTGGCAATTAATTTTTTAGGTTATCCATAGAGTAATTTATATACTGCATCATGAATTTTTTTGAAATATTAAGTATTTCCCAACATAATTAAATTTTAATATAAATTCTTAAAACTTTTATTATTCTTGTAATTACAGAAGAAATCAATTTAAAAGAGATTATCTTCTAAAAAATTGAATTAACTTTAAGTACCTTATATCTTTGTATTCTTTAAATTAATGAATTTTAAAAGAAATGACATTAAAAATAAATTTAGAAAAGTTGTATAAATTATTAATATACCTACATAAGATGAAATATATATCAAATACTTTAAATAAATAGAGTTGAAAAAATAAATTGATCTTTTATTGTTTTAGATATATTCCAAATATAAATCAGTTGATATTATTTTCTAAAAGAATTCTGGATAATGCAAAATTTAATAATTGAATTTCCTGTTACTTAATAGTCTTAGTTAATTAAAAATTATTAGAATATGAAATTTTTCAATATATTTATAATATTGTAAAATAAATAATTCTTTTAGAATTTGAGAAATGCTTAGAGTATATGAAGGAATAATATTATAGAATTCTTTTAGACTTTTAAGTTGTTATTTATATTATTTTGTACACATTCATCATTCATAAACCCATCCGTGGTCATTGGTATTCCAGTTTACCAATTCTTAAGGTTAGAACCATAAACTGATCTCCTTGTTGGCTGATTCAACTGAGTCTGATCCGTGAATAACATTTCTTCCAACATCAATAGCAAAATCTCCTCTGATTGTTCCTGGTTTTGAAGCAAGTGGGTTTGTTTCACCTAACATGACTCTTCCTGTCTTGACAGCTATGTAAAATAATACTATATTCTACCATCCTTTCCTTCCCAAACCATAGCAGCAACTGGGCCTGAACTGACATATTTTAAAAGACTTGGGAAGAAGGGTCTCTCCTTCAAATCAGCATAATGCTAAGTCAAAAGACCTTAATCTGGAGCAACAAATTTAAGGGCAACGAGTTTGAATCCTCTGTCTTCAAATCTTTGAATGATTTTTCCGACAAGTCTTCTTTAGACTCCGTCTGGTTTGACCATGATGAAGGTTCTTTCTTAGTTATTCATAAATTTATTTAAATTTAATTTATGTTCAGATTTATATCTTTTTTTATTAATCAATATTATTGTTTTAAGAAATTTAATACTGCGTCATGACTTTTCAAGTAATCTTAATGCAGAACATCACATGGTTCACTACTCTCTAAATTTTGCATCTTAATCTTTTCTATAGCTTGGTTTAGTTCTTTAATCTATTATTTAGCCATTTAAAGTTCTGTATATAATATTTGTTTCTCTTTATTCAAAGCTTTCTATTTATGGTATTCATCTTAAACATAAAGTCTTTGATTTTCTAATTCCTTATATTATGATTATAATTTATACTTAAATCATAGCTATTATTATATCATTTTTTCCTTCATTTTAAAACGAATTTTCTTTAAGTTCATCTATTTATGTTAATAATTATTTTATTTTATTAGATTGATTCTCCACCATATTTGTTAATCTATCATTGTCATCAATTAAAGATGTAATTTGATCAATTGGTAATTTTTTGTAAGCATCTAATTATTGTTCTAATTATTTATTCTTTTATTCCAAACTAATTATCTTTGTTTTATAATCTTATTATTCTAATTCTTTTATTTTTATTTATAATGTTTCATTCTCTTTTTTTAACTAATTTACTTATTTTGTCAGTCTCACCGTTTCTCGATCATTAGATAAACATTATGCAAACCCAGTTGGAGTTTCTTAACTTAACTACCTTGTCATTTAAAAAGGCGTTGGACACTTATTAGAATCACTTAAAACTCTAATCAGTTAGGATTTTTACATTATTGATAATTAAAATTTATAGATAGTTGTTATACTTATTAATTTAATTTTAAATAGGATTAATTATAAAATAAAATAAGTTAAATACAAACTTTTAAAATCTATTTTAGTTTTATATTGTTCAACTTGGTTTTAATTAGGCTAACCTTATTTTAACTAAAATATTGTTTTATTTGATGAATAATATATTCTAATCTTTATATTTAATTATTAAGATATTTTAGGTAGTAATAAATAAATTAAAAAAACAATATTAATATTATCACTTTATTGTACTAAAGTTCTAAAGCTAAGGAAGTTTAGTTTTTGCATCTATTTTTGTTAAATTCATTTTTAAGAATCTCCTCTTATATTTTTTTGTTGCAAAACCTATTTTTTAATAAAATCTTCTTAAATGAGGACAATTATCACCACAACGAGCATGAATTTATCTCATTTTTTTCATATACTCTCTAAATTCTTCAACAGATATTTATTCATTTCCTAATTAAATATTATAAAAATAATATTTACCTTGTTTTCCTAATTAATTTCTAATTTATCTCAAAATTTCTCCCATTTACCCATTTTTTGATTGCATTAATCTTTAATAAAGTTTATCTGATTAATCTTCTTCTGTTTAATCTTCATCCAAAGAATCTAAGGAATTATTAGATTATGCAGATGAAGGTCGAGGTTTTAATACTTCTTCATCAGAATCATGTTATTATACTTATTATTATTATTATTTTGTTGTTCTCTTTACTTAAAGTTGTTATTTAAGCATCACCCAATTTTTAATTTATTCTTACTTACTTTTTTCCAATCCCATATTACCTAATTACTCTAAAATCTAATCTAACAATGATTAAGATTAATCACTAAAATCAAAGATTCCTTCAGTCTAAATTTCTCTATCTTCTGTACCTAATTTTATTATTTTTACAGTTTTAGTTCCATTTGAAGATATTTAAGTTTCTTCTACAACGATATTACCATTTTTATCTTTATTAAATTTTTTTATTATTTTTTCAACCTTACCATCTTTTCCAATTCTAGTTTCTTCTATAATTTATTCTCCATTTTATCCTTTTTTAGTTCTAATAACAACTTTATTTCCATCAGCATCAATAGTTTCTATTTCTGTAATTTCAAGTCCATCTTTATCTTTATATTATTTTTTTTTTACTGTCATTTTACTTCCATCAGCATTAGTAGTTACTTCTTCAATAATATTATTTCCATCTTTATCTTTTATAACTCTTGTTTTAATTAATCTTTTATTTCCTTATTCATCTGTTATAATTTCTTCTTTAATTTCATTTCCATTTCTATCTTTATAAACCTTCCTTTATACAGTTTGTTATTATCCATTTTCCCCTTGTATAATTTCAACTTCAATAGGATGGCCATCCTTATCAATCTAAACTTGTTTTTGTGTGTTTGTAATTTTTCCATCTGCACCAACAATTTATTTTTAGACAATTTCTTTTCCATTTTAATCTTTCATTGTTTTGGTTATAATTTTTGCTCCTGTTTAAGGATCAATTGATTCTTCTTCAGTAATAATATTTCCATTTTTATCTTTATATTAACGTTGTTTAACAACAGTGACATTTCCATTTTAGTCCATGATTTCTGTTTCTACCGTATATGTACCATCAGGATTCTTTTTCTTTTTAGATGTTTTGATAGTAATAGTTCCATCAGGATTAATAGTTTCTTCTTCAATAATATCATTTCCATTTTCATCTTTCTTAATTTTAGTTCTTTTAATAATTTTATTTCCATTTTCATCTAACATAACTTCTTCTGTTATAGCAATTCCATTTTCCACAATCATTTTTTTCTCCACTTATTGTATTTTTCCATTTTTATCAATAATTTATTCTTAAATAATATCTTATCCAAATTGATTCTTTTTAATAGTAGCTATAGATTTATTTCCATTTGCATCAGTTCTTTCTTCTATAATAACTTAATTTCCATTAGCATCTTTAACTATTTTTCTTTTAACTTTTGTTACATTACCAAATTAATCAGTAATTTCTTCTTCTACAACCTCATTACCATCTTTATCTTTATATACTTTTTATTTTTTTGTTGTTTTATTACCCTATTCATCAATAGTGATTTCTTCAATAATATCATTACCATCTTTGTCTTTTGTTACTCTCTAAATTATTATTATATTATAAATACTTTAGCTACTTTTTGTTTTTTACCCTTTTCATCAACAAATTCTTCTTCAACATAATCATTTCCATTTTTATCTTTCTTTACTTTCATTTATTTAATCCTTATTTATTTTTTTCCATTCTCATCTATATATTCTTCTTATACTTCATATGTTTCTTCTCCATCTTTAGCTTAGACCTTCCTCACTTTTTTACCTGAACTGTCTTCAAACCATTCATTCAATTGTACTTAACGTCCATCCTTTGTAATAGGTTTTGTTGGAATCTTTATTTTAGCTCCTCCAACAGCAAATCCACCAAATTATTCTAAAAATTATTAAGTTTATTTAGATTATTAAATAATAATTGGCTTATCTCTAGCTCTTAATTCTTCACCTTATGCATTTACAACAACTTCTTCTTCTACTTCCATTTCTTCTTCTATCCATTCTCCTTATGTGTTTTACCTTTTAACAAGTTTCATGACCTTTCTAGTGATTATTTTTTCTCCAGGATTTAAATATTCAGGATCAAACAAAGGATCATAAAAAGGTACTTTTGCTAATTTTTATTTTCTTGTTAATTCATCTTTTTTGACTTATCTAGTTATTGCAGAAATATCAGATCCACAAATTTATTTAAATATAGGATCTTTTAATAAATCATCTACTACCATTAATTCTTTCATCTCTTATAAATTTAATTTTTCATTAAAATCAAACCTCAATAGATTATCTAATTAATTCAAAATCAATTTCTTTTAATCTTCACTTATATTAGAATTTTAAACAAATAATCTAAATCTTTCTAAACTTCTATTATACTCTTTCTCTAAACCTGCAACATTATCTATAAGATTTTTTATTCTGAATTTCATCTTTATATTATCTTCAACTAATTTTCTTATTTTTTCTGAATCTGTTTTATTAATTACAGCTTATTATTCATTATTTGCCTTTTCTTTTGATTTCAATTATTCCTATAATTTTCTACTTTCTAAATTTGCTTTAGTTAATTGATTGTTTATATTGCTCAATTATTGAATATATGCATCTTTTTCAATACCTAAATCTTTAACCTTTCTTTCTAATTATAAAATCTTGGATTCTCTTTCTGCTCCTTCTTTTCTATGTTACTACATTTTTTCTTAGAATTCAATTTCTATTTTCATTTTATCTGTCTAACTTGCCACTCCTTCCATATAAACTAATTATCCATTCTTCATTAATGCTCTACCTGCTTTAATATCTTATAATGCTTTTTCTTAAGCTTATTTCTATACTCCTCTTATACTATCCATAAGTGTGTTTTCTAAATTAAATATCTATTCTCTTTCTTTATTTTATTATTCCTCTATTTCTGCAGCCTCATCATCAATTTCATGTGTAATTCTTCTTTTTTTTCCTAGATCTTTCAACACTTCTTTTAAATTAGCTTATGCTTTTGATTCTCCAACAGCCATTAAATCAAGTTTTCTATTTTTTAAGAATTCAGCTATCTTTTAACTATCTTCATCTAAATCATCTTAAATATCCATTAATTCCTTTTGCTTTTTTATAAGATGATCTTGATTTCTAGCATTGTTCATATCTTCTCCAGTATCAGTCCATTTTTCTGCAAAAACTTTCTTAACCATCTTCTTAACTACAGGTTACAGTTACACTATTTAATGAGCCATTTTATTAGTTTCTCTTTCTTCAGATTAATCAACAGATTTTCTTCTTGCTTATATCATATTTTTCTATAAACTTTCAAGCATTTTATCAGGTTGTACCTCAAAATTAGTATTTATTCTATTTTATGAACAAATATACATACTTTAATATATAATGAACAATCAAATTCTAGCCATTATAAATTTTATTTAAAGCTTATCTCAATTCACTAAAGTGTGCAACTTCTAGCATTTCACTAATTTCATATAAAACTATCTAATATATTTCATGCATTGTTTTCATTAATTCCATTAATTTTGGTTTAGTAAGATCTTTAGATTATTTTTGTTTAAAATCATGATCCACTTTTGATAATAACTTATCTAATTTAGCTATTTTTTAAATATCCAAACCTCCAGCAAATTGATTATCAATATCTGAAAATCTAGCTTCAGCCATTAAAATAGATTATAAAATTATAAATATTATTATTTACTATGTCTAAACTATTTAAATACAAAAAAGTTGGAAACAGTATGATGGTAATAACAAAAGATTCTATTGAATTGATGGAACAATTAAGAACAGAACATTCTAATCTTTGCAAGTCCATATCTGAATTAGATATGAAAAGATAATTGATAGAGGATAAAATGAGAGAATTATCTATCAAGTTAAATTCCTTTTACTAACATAGTGATTAACCATATATCCCTAAGTTAATTTATAAATTTCCATGTGATTCCCAATAAGATTAAAGAACAATAGATGATGAAGAAGTAATCTTTCAAATTAATGACTATTAAGAATTCATTCCTGATTTTTAAGAAAATAATACAAAAACTAAAAAAGAATTATACAATTATTTTAGTTATAAATAAGATGTAAAAGATCTATTTAATGATCTTAATAATACAAATAATATTAAAAAACTTGCAGAAGAATTTGGAATTAAATCAAATAATATCAATAAAATGAAATAATAAATTAAGATAATTTAGAATTATTTAGAAAACTAATCATTTCCATCTTCATGGAATAATATTTATAATACAGAATTATTCGATAAATTAGAAATTTGATTTATGTATCATAACTAGTTATAAAATAATTATAATTCAATTTTTTCTATGTAAATCTATCTTCTCTCCCCATCTTTTCTCAAGTCTTTCTAAATTTGCAACAGTTTCATCATATTTTCTTTTTAATATTTGATATTCTTCATTTCTTTCTGATAATTCTCTTGATTTTCTATTCATTTCATTAGACAAACCATTAATTTTTTATTATAAACTTAAATTTTCTCTGGATAGATTTTCTAAAGCAATCTAAAGATCTTATTGTCTCAAAACTGATCCTACAAATTTATAAATTTAAATAAGTACTCCTACTATCATCTGTAATTTTCTTGTTTTATAATTCTCTCCTCATTTCCTCCAAATTTTAATGTAATTAATCTGTTTCTTCTTTTCTCTTTTTTAACATCTCACTTAAATGTTATTATTCTTATCTAGATTAATTTAATTCATTTTTATAATTAGCAATTGTAGCTTAATGCTAATTTAATAACATTCCTTATCTTAATAATTCTTCTTAAATATTAAAATTATTGCTTCTCACCTTTTCAATTTCTGATTTTAGAGATTCTATTTAATCATTTTTATTTTATAGTTCTACTTAGAGTTATTATTCACGTTAATCATAATCAAATGATGAAAGTGCATTTCTCTTATCTAACATTTTAATTTGTTATTCCATTGTTTATTTTAAGTCTATAATTTCTTATTCTTTAACTTATAAAAGTTCTTCTTATTATAACCTAACATTTTTTAATCTTCTTTCAAGATCATTTACATTTTCTTAACAAACTTTCTTTTAGACTTCATATTAATCTCTCATACCACCCATTTCTTCAATTAATTCATTTAATTATCTTTCTTTTTCTTATGTTTTTCTTGCTTATAATGATATCATCTCATTTAATTCTGTTACTTGATATTTCATTTCTGATTTTACAGCTTACATTTGTTTTTCAAGTTTTTCATATTCTACTCTAATTTGTTATTCATTTTATTTTAAACCATCAATTTGTTATAGTAATTATTATTATAATGATGTTTATTACTATAATTACTAATTCATTTAATCATACTATGTTTAAAGCTAATAATTTCTATCAGTAGATTTCTTTAATTCACTTTTTGTAAAGGCTAATTCTTAATTTAATGAATCAAGTTTTTTTTCAGTATTCCTCAATTCTTCTTATAATTTACCTTTTCTTAAATCAATTTATTTAAACTCATCTAAAAGTTTTTAATAATCTTATTTTGCCATCTAAACTTTTTCTTCTGTTCCCTTTAATAATTAATTTAAATTATTAATTTAATTTCTACATTCTCTTTCTTACTCATTTTTTTATTTAGATAAATTTGTTAATTCAATTTCTTTATTTTATAACCCATTCTTTAATTATTCATTTATTATTTCAAGATTATGGCATATTTAAATAGATTATTCTTCAGAAATACTCTTTTCTTTTAGAATTGATTTAATTTTATCTTCTAATTTTTAAATCATATCATTTTTGCTATCAATAACTTTAGAATCAACTTAATTATGAGCCATTTCAGCTTTTAAATTATCATTTTCTATTTATAATTAAAGTAATTTTAATTCCAACTATTCAGATTATTTGGTAGTACTAGAATGAATTGATTTAAGAATTAATGGTGACTTAGGAACTTCTTTTTAATTATTCTTTTCTGCTAATAATTACTTATATTTAATTTCTAATTAATCTAATTCATTTTAGAGTTATTAATTTTTCATTTTATAATTATTAATATCATCTACTTATACTCTATTATTAGTTTGTGTTGATAAATTCTTAAAACTTTCATATTAGATGCATTTATTTTTAAGTTCTTCATTTTCTTTTTAATTTATTTATAGACATTCAAATACTCTATTAAATTCTTTATTAGCTTAATTAGCCTTTTCTTCAGCTAATTATTTCTTTTTAATCTCTTCAGTTACTTTTTATTCTTATTCAATTAAATTTTTATTTAACTAATAATTATAATTATTATTATATTACTTTTTAATTCTCTTAAACTAATGCAGTCATTTTAGTTTATAATTATTCAAGAATATTTTTTAATTTATTATAATCTTCAGCCATTGTAGAAATTTTAGAATCATTATCAACAGGTTCATTATTAGAAATTTCTTCTAGTTTTCTAAAATTTGCTAAAATTTCAATCATTTTATCATTAATTTAATCTGGTACTTTATTATCACCCATCATTTTCTATATAGATGACATTAATTCTCTTAAAGCTCCAGAAATTCTAAATATTTCAGTTTATATCTTAGATTTTGATTATATAAGATGAATATTTTATGAAGATAATCTACTGTTACCAACAGTTGGATGATTATCTATTAATGGTGATTTTGTTTAAAATTATTAATAGTTTTCTTTAGAATCAATAAGAGTTGTTCCATCTTTTTTAGAAGTATTGCTTTTTCTTTCTGTTATTTATTCTTTATTTGTATCACTCTAAAAAGTTCCAGCAAAAGTCTTGTTATATTCATACTTATAAGTTTCATATTATGGTTTAAATTCATTCTAAGATTTAATGATTTCTTATTGATTATGTGGTTTAAAAATATCATTTGTTGATCCATTTTTAATACTAGGTTTGTATTGATAGGAATTATCTAATTTTTAAGGAGGAGAAGGTTAAATGATAACATTATTTTAACTTACTTATTTAGCATCAAATTAAGGTGATTACATATATGGTGATGGTCCATATTGCTAGATCTTTGCTTATGATTATGTTTTTGGGCAATAGATTTATTTATCTGGAGATTACATAGAAAAATTTCCCATATCTTTGGATACAGAGAATTGTCTATTCATTGCTGAAATTTGGGTTGGCTTCTATACACTTTTCATTATATGCTGTTAAATAACTTTATTTATTTTTCTGTTAAAATTAATATATTATTATTTTACTATTATTAAAGTAAATACTAAATTCCTACATTTTATTCTAATTTTATTATATGATTATATATATATATATATGATATTCGTATATAATATGAATTATTTTAAACCTATCAATAGATTCCAATATTGTTAATTAAAGAATTATAAATAATGATTTATGAATAATAGAAAACTTCTTAGAGTTTTGAGATCTTTCTAGAAAATGCAATTAGAATAGATCAATAAATATATATGGAAGACACATTATAAGCATTAGGTTAAACAATATCTTTAGCCAACTTAAAAGGTAATTTATATCCATTTGGATCATTTTGTAATGGATTTCAAGGGACTAATAGTGATTTAGATTGTGTGTTTATAACAGATTCAGATAGAGATGTTTAAACGATTTTAAGAAATCTTCGGTCTGCTGTGAAATAATACAATAAAATAAAATAGACACCTTAATTAAGGTTTGTTGATTTGATTTTATATGCAAAAGTAAATAACTTAATTTATAGTAAGGTACCATTAATTAAGATCCTAGACATTACTAATAATGTAGCTATTGACTTAAGTATTAATAATATAAATGGAGTATTAAATTCTAAGCTTTTAAATGAATATTCTTAAATGCATCCTAAAATTCAATAGTTAGGATAATTATTAAAATTATGGGGAAAAAATTAACGTCTTATAGTAACTGGGTAATTAACATCTTATGCCATTTTATTAACAATGATCCATTTTCTATAATGTAAATACGATGTGCCATACTTATCAGATATTAACCTTACTAATGAATAGTTATCAGCCTTAGAAAATTTTGGTGTTCAGCCATTCTTTAATTTAGGAGTCAAACCTAATTTGGAAAGACTTTCAAATACAACACTATAATAATTATTATTTGAGTACTTTTAATATTATGAACCAAATGGAGAATTTGAAAAGAAATAAATTTGTGTTTCTATTCATTCTTTTTAAAGACCTCACAAAGATAATAAGAAAAGAACACTAAAAATTATTGATCCTATTGATCCAAGAATTGATCCAAGTAAAAATATCAAAAGTAGATGTTATCGAATACAATAACATTTTTTAAGAGCCAAAGAATTGATATCAAATCATTAAAATCAATTTCTATATCAATAATAGGCTGTTAAAAATGGAAATAATCGATAAGGATATTAATATTATGACAAAAGGGAAAAATAATATAAGAAAAAATAATTTAGAAAAAGACTTTAATGAGAATCTTAAGGTATGCATATAATAATAATATTAATAAAATTATACTTATAAATTATTATAGAGAAAAATATTCTATAATATTTTTATTATTATATAATTTGTATATTTATTTGATGGAATATAACTACAGCTAAGATTTTGAGGATTAATTGCTGAATTTAATAAATTAGAAAATACCTAATATTTTATACTTATCTTTAGATGCATTAGCAACGGCTTTAAAAATGACAAAATTAAAAGGCAATTTATATCCATTTGGTTCATTTTGTAATGGATTTGAAAGTGAAATTAAAGATTTAGATTGTGTATTCTTAACACCTTGTGATGATAAACCTACAAGTTTATTAAGGTAGGTTTAAGCAGGCATTAGAGCCTATAATGAACAAAATCTTATACCTTCATTAAAAATTAATGCATTTATATCTCATGCTAAGGTATGATCAAATATACTTAAAAGGTTCCGATTATTAAATTGGTTGATACTACAAATAATGTTGAAATAGATTTGAGTGTTAATAATATAAATGGTATTGTTAATTCAAAATTACTATATGAATATTCATAACTACATCCTAAAATCAAACAGATGGGACTATTATTAAAATTATGGGGTAAAAGAAATAGATTAATAAAAACTGGTTCTTTATCATCTTATGGAATGATTATCTTCATGATACACTTTTTATAAGAAAAATATAAAGTGCCTTATTTATCTGATTTTAAATTAACTGCATAACATTTAAAGAATTTAGAACAATTGGAAAACAACCCCTATTTTCGAATAGGTTTAAAAGTTGATTTACCTGAACTCACATAAACTTCTTTATAATAGTTATTGTATGAATTCTTCTCATATTATTAACCATAGGGTGAATTTTAATAAAAAAATATTTGTATATCAATTCATAGAATTCCTATATAAAATGTTCATCATAATTTTACCTTAAAGATTTAAGATCCAATTAATCTGAGATAAGATCCAAGTAAAAGGTTTGAATTGTAATGTTTAGAGTTTTAGAATGCTTTTCTAAAAGCTAAAAAATTGATTTAATAACATGATATACATGCATTTGATTATAATGATATTGCAAAGAATAAAGTAAAAAAGAATAATAAACTTCATTAATAATTTCAATAAAGTTGATTAAAAGTAGATTGTTTGATATATTATAAAAATTAAAATCTTGATATTTAATTAAAATTATTCATATTTTATAACTCCAGTTTATTATCATATGAAAGTTAAGATTTTCTACTTTTTTTTAATTCAATTTTCAATTCTGACTAAATTCTAAATGAATTGTAGATTGGTAATCCAGAAAGATCTCATAATATTCTGATATGCTGAAATATAAAAAGAAATCTTTTAAGATCATAGAAGCAGTTTCAAAGGATTCATAAAATTCATAAATATCTTTTATGATCTTGAATAGACAAGGTCCTACTAATTATGCAACCTTAATCAAAGTATTTAAAAAACATTTATACCTCATCAAATATCAAAAATAGAATTTTAATTATATAAAAACTATTTTTCAATTTCTTTTGATTTATTTAATTATTTGAATGTGAATCATTTAAGGTTTTTGATTCTTTCAATATTTAAAGATACTATAAAAAATTGAATTCTATTTAAAATGTAATAACAATATTTACCTCTTATTTGCTTCTAAAAATGTAAGCATTTCTTATTTTTTTCATATCTTAGATACCAAATATAATAGAAGGCTACACTTTCTGATTTTGGTCTACAAGATTTTTTATACTATTCATTGAATTTTTTTCTATCATTTAATCCAGAAAAAGTTGTTAAATATGGCTATAACATGTTTTTAAATGGTATTAAATCTTCAACATTTATTTCTTTTATGCTTAATGAACTTAAATAAATTATTTATGTTTCAACTGTAATTTTTTTATCTAATTTTATACATCTTCCATTCTTTTACTTGCTTTTTTGAATAAATATTTTCCATATCTATTTTCAACATACCTTCTCCAAAATCTACCTATGATAGCTATTATTTACTTTTTTTCATCTGTCAATTATATTATTAAAATATAAATATAATATTCTTAATATTGTAATTGACTTTTCTTTACATTTATTTTAATAGATGGTCAAATAATAATCATATTTTAATTACAATATCATACTATTAAGCTATCGTTTACCTCCATTTGTAATAATTCCTTTTTATTAAAACTTAGCTATTTAAATATTTCAATTTAATTATCAAAGGTTAAAATTTATATATTGTAATCATCATAATATATCTATTAAAATAAATTTTGTAATTGAACTTTTTCCTTAATGAACTATTTCTTAAAATATTTTTTTCGAAATATGTTATTTCTATCATTTTATTGAGTACTAGCATTCATTTAAAAAATCTTAATCACCAGATATATAATTATAATATTATTATATACATTGATTAGGATTCTAACTACCTGAATAAAGTTACATCAATTTTTACGAGTTTAAGCTAATAAATTTTGAATTTCCTCAGTACTACTGAATGTTTGCAAAAAAAAATATAGTATTATTTACCTTTCCAATTAAATTAATGATATTAAATTAATTACAAAGCCATCAAACATTAAAATACATATATAATCCCTAATTCCAAATCTGCCAATATCTAAGTATAATCTTTTTTTAATAAAGTTTCATGAAATATTTATAAATTCGATCATAATAATGTTTTTCATTCTCGAATTTAGGTCAAACACAAAATCAGCCAATTTTACTACCTCTATTGGATTATGTGTATTATTTTTATTAATATATTTATTCACAATCTTATTTAGATATTAATGAATATTTATTATCTATAAAATATATAATCAATTCTATGCTTGGTACTTAATAATTTATAGAATATTTATTTAAATATGGTATCCTTATTTATATTTTGAAGATGATATAATAATTGTTAATACTTTCATCATATGAATAAATTCAGAGAATAATTATTGATTTAATTGTTAAAGAGAATTATATATATTTCTTATCTTAGCATCTATTATTTTCATTTATTTATTATATCAATTTATTTGATTGCTACTAGTTTCCTTTTTTATTGATTAGTGTTAGTTATAAACCCAATCAAAATATCTTAAATTACTTTCATTAGATATAAAATAAGTATATTCTCTAATGACTTTTTGGTTTAGCATATTAAATTTAAATAATTTATCATAATGCATGAATATACAACAGTATCAAGTCTTGTTATTTTAATAGCAAAATCCAGAGTTAATCAAGGCTATTGATGGTATTCCAATCCCCGACATCACTCTTTCTTCACTCTCACAACAATCTTCTAGAGTCAATAAATTTCTGAAAAAAGAGGAATCTTTAATATCAGATAATATGATTTAATATTTAAAATAGACAAGGAAGATAGATAAAGAATAAAGAGATACTTAATAAATATAAAATTTATTTTTGAAATCATTAAGTCCATTTTAAAATAAAGAAAATACAAATTAGAATAAAATATTAAAGAATCTAAATATAACAAATTTATAATAAAACAACCTAGAATTAATAAAATTAGTTGAATCATAAAAACAAGAAATTTAATTAAAAATTTCTATTATTAACGACTTATAGTAATAAATTGAATAATTAACAATTGAATTATAAGAGAAAAAGGCTGAGTTATAATCAAATACAGAAATTCTTTAGTAATTAAATACTATAAATACTTAATAACAATAAATAATTGAAAATATCCCTTTTGAAAATTTTTATAAATAAAAGTTAAATTAACTATCAAATCATTAAGAAGGTGATTAAATTATTTAATTATATTCATAAATAAAAAATCTAGAATCTGAAATCAATAAAACAAGAACAACGTTTTCCTTTTTTTCTCCTAAAAATGAGACTTTAGAATATAAAGATTTACTGATAAAAAATAGAACATTCTATCCTGAATTGTTAAGTGAATAGGAAACAGTATCAACCTTATTTAATTTACTGAATAGGATTTCTAAAAGTTAAAGAATGATATCATTATTACAAAAGAATGTTGACTTTATTAAATTAATTAAATTTAAGCCTTTATAATAAAGCTAAAATAGAATTTCACATGTAAATAATATTAAGTCTTAAGAAAGAAATTCATCATAAAATGTAGAAAAATTAGGAAAATTATTGAAACCTTTATAAAAAAAATTTAATTGATTTTCATAATTTATTATCAAAATTAAATATTATGTTTCTTAAAGATTTCATTATAGATGATATTAATAAATAATTATAAGTGAATCAAGTTTATGGATAATCATAAGTTGATGATAATTAAATTTAAGTAAATCTATAATTTAAATAGAAAAGAAATTTTAAGGAGTAGTCATTATAAAAAATGATGCATACACAAAAAATTTAGGAACAAATGAAGCTTAATATGATATAAAAGAAGTTGATTTTAATTCTGTAAATTACTTCAATATATAGATAGATTCTATTTGATAATGAAAATGAAAATAAAAATTAACTACGATTCCAATTTTAGACAATTGATTCGACTAATTCATTGAATTAACCAGAAATAGTCGATTTTGAATAATGTAGAGCTTCCATTGAAGAAGGTTGTTAAGAGAGAGATTAGTAGTAATCATTAGAATAAGAAATTTCAAATTAAAATACAATTAGTGAAACTGAATAAGAGTAGGTTTAAAATGAAGAATTTGCATTAAAAACAGAGGTTTAAAATTTTGAAGTACTAAATTTTACAGAAATTTAAATTCCTGAATAAAATAAAGTTATTGCATCTAAACCATATTCAGATATAATAAGAAGTTTGGATTAGAGTGATTATATGGGTGAGTTTTTGATTACTCCTTTGAAATAGTTTGGGATGTTTTAATGTGTAATTATTAGGGAGAGTTTTGGTTTTAATAGTTTTAAACCAAAATATAAATTATATTGGTAAGAAAAAAAGTAGTTTTTGATATCTGCAAGGAAATAATTGAATAAACATAAATATAAATTATCATAAGATCCAGATTTTTCATCTAAATTTGATGCTGCTTTAATAGGAAAAGTAGAATAAAGCAAGTAATCAAAGGCAGATTATTTTCTATTTGATAATGGAATAAAAAAAAATAATTAAAAAAATTCAATTATCAATCCTAAACCAAGAATATAATTAGGAGGAGTGTTTTTTGAAATAAATTAAAGTAGTTAAAAATAACCTAGAAAAATGATGGTTTTATTAAAATAAAATGGAAATGAAAATTAAATAATAACATTTGAAAATAGATAACCAGTACTTAAAAAATAATTTGATTGTAATTTAAATAATTAAAAAAAATAGAAACAATTTACACTCTTGACTTTTTTGGAAGAGTTAAATAAGCATCTGTGAAAAATACATAATTAATTATGAAAAATGATACTAAAGATTTAATTTATTTTCAATTAGGAAAAGTTAATGATTAATAATTTAATTTAGATTTCATGAGTCCTTTTAGTCCCCTATTGGCATTTTAAGTTGCATTGACTATATTCGATTTTTAATCAAAATGATTTAATATTTATTTAATTATGTAAAAAATATATTTTCCTGGTGAATTAATAAAACATAAAAATGAATTATAAAGTGGAATTGGAACATATGTAAAAGATGATAAAATATATGCATCTATGTAAGGAAGTCTAACAATTAATGAATAACTAATATCAATATTCCCATCACATTAATAAGATCCTGAATTAAAAATAGGTTCAATCATAATAGGATAAGTTAATTGTATTAGAGAAGATAGAGTTTTTGTTAGAATTTTAAAAATTAATGGAGTAAAAGTTAATAATTACATTGAAGGTGTATTAAGGTATTGAATTAATATAAAAAATAGAAAATAAAACATAAGATTGCATGAAATTGATTTGTTGGAAATGAATAAATGTTATTTACCAGGGGATATTATAAAGGCTAGAATGATTTCATATGGAGATTCATTAAAATTGTATTTAAGTACAGCAGAAGATGAATTAGGAGTATTATTTGCTAAACACTAAGAAACATAGAAATTAATGATTCCATTATCATGGGATGAAATGCTATGTGTAGAAAGTGGTTTAAAAGAGAAAAGAAAAGTAGCTAAACCTAATTTCAATTAATTGGTCTGATTTGTCAATAATTTATATAATCGTTTAAATGTATCTAATCCTCATTTTTATTTTTTTGGTTTGCTTGAAAAGATCTTAACTTTCTATTCTCCAGATTTAGCTTCATGCATAATGTGTTAAGCATCTGTTTAAACTTACTTTTATGGTGGAGCTGTTGTGGTCGTTGTTGTTGTAACATCACTATTTAAATCAGCTCTATCTTAAACAACAGCTTTAACAATAGTTTAGATATTCATATTATTTTATCTCTCTAAAATAGTACCAGGTAAATATTTAGGGATACCAAATACTCTATTATATATATATATTTGTATTTACTTTCTGATTTTCTCTTATCTTGCTAGAGCAGTAATTATTAAATGACAAAATGCAGAGGAGCACCAATAAAGATTAACACCAGCTGGGAAAAAGATAACAACAGGAATTGAAAAGAAAGGTAAGAACCTTACATATCGATAATACTTAGCAAATGGAACAGTAGATTATGATTACATATTAGGATTCAAAGAGATGTTCCAAAATGTGAAAAATGAACTCATAATTGGCAATATTCCATAAGGATCATATTCACTTAAATCTTAAAACCTATTATTTAATACAATTTATACCATAAAAATCCTTGACTTTTTAATCCTTCATATTTATCTGGTAATGAACAGACATATCTTAATGATAAAAACCATGTGAATAGGAAAGGCATTTGTAATATGGATAATCCTGGAATAAGCATATTTATGTTATGCTTTCTTTTGAAAAGTTTAAATTATTTTTATGCTGCTCTACTAGCTTTGAAATCTTAAGCTCTCATTGCTCGTTAAATCATGTTTTAGAAGTTCTTACTCTCAGGCTCAATTAATTTCATACGACAAGCATTTAATTATGCAGAAAACATTAAAGGTGTAAAAGCAATCTTAATACCCATTGATATTGCTAAGATTCCCCATCCCATTCCCCAACTCTTTTTAATAAATATGCAATATTTACTAAATCATTTGCTATATATAATAGTAATTCTCTTGAGTATTCATCTAATGAATTATACATGTTGGTAGGAGTATATGCAGAGAATCTTGTAATTAAGTCTTCTACCATAATACTAGAAGGAGCAGTGATTCCTTATTAAACATTAGCAAAATCAAAGACACCTGTAGGTATTTTTGTTGAGAATTTGTATAACTTAAGTGTTCTTGATATCATAAATATAATTTTATCATTTTATAAACTTTTGTTTAACTTACCTTACAAAATATCAAGAACACTTTTATTCGAATATTCAACTTTTCATTTGTTTTAATCATTAATTAAGCAATTTGTATAACTCTTAGTTTTCAAAACATATAATGTAAATTAATGGTTTCATTTTAGTAATTAAATTAAAGATGATAAATAATTTAAAGTAAATGATCAAATAAATTTAAAGGAATGATATAGAATAAGAAAAGATATAAAACTAGATAGCTTTGTAGTTTTTGGAATGATAAATTAAAATTTGAATTGTTTTTTGATTTTATTGATCTACATTTAATTATGATTGTTGTAATAGTTATTTGTTATAGTTGCAATCATTCTCCTTACACTCTCAATCAGTTAATAAATTATATATAATATTAATATTAGAATATATTAAAATTCAAAATTAATGTAATATAGATCAAGTAAACCTCCTCAATCGGTGAAGAACTAACCGGGGTCATTCTTTCCAAAGCAACCTTATTCACCAGCAAAGTCACATATAGAGCACTTTGTGTCTGAAAATCCTACACCCAATTAACGAAAATAATAATAAGGTTATCCTCCAAGACAAAATTCGTTTAATATGTCTAGTGGGGAAAGTTTAGAATAATTTCATAGAAAGCGTTAAAATTCCAATTTTAGTTAAGAAAAGAAAGCAAAAAATTAACTGTTTAATATTTTATTCAATAATACAAAGCGTAATGATAGTTTTTGTAAAGACACTATGTAAGATATGATGATTTATATTTAGGAAGAAACAAAAAAGATAAAACTCATTTAATAATTAAGGATAAAACTGGTATCTTCCAAGTAAATAAAAGTTATCCTAAACTATGTAAAAAAAGCAATCAAATATTAACAACAGTATGGATGGATAATAGACAGTTGATATTAGTTTCGAAAACAATGTAATAAAAGGTTATTAGGATCATAGTGGTTTTTAGAGTGACACTACTAAACCTTCTGAAGAATACAATCCTAGATCAATTAAACTATTTGAAAAAGGCAAATAACTATTAAGAGAAAAACAAATTGATGAAGCAATTGAGTAAACAATTTATTGATAATGATAGTTAATTAAAAAAATGTGTAGAACTTGATACTAGATTATTAGAAGGCCATTATTTTTTAGGATTAGGCTATTTAGGAACTCAAATGTATTAAAAAGCAATTGCAGAATTCTAATATGTAATTTAAAAGGATGCAGTTCATCGCAAAAACATTTACCTCTTATTAGCTATTTCTCATAAAAAAATGAATGAAGTTGATTAAGCAATTTAAATACTCAATAAAGTGATAGTAATGTTTCCTAGATATTATGATGCTTACATTTATAGAGGGAAATTATATATCAAACTCAATCAAATTGATAAAGCTGAATAAGATTTTAATGTAGCCACTTAATTAAGTCCATAAAAAGGATTAGGTTATTTAGGTAAAGCTGATTGTTTAAGAATGTAATGCTAATATAAATAAGCTATCAAATTCTATTAAAAAGCCATTAATTGTGAATAAGCAGTTGGAAATGCAGCAATGTTAAAAAAGGCTATTACTTTATATGAAAGTTAATAATATGAAGAATGTGCAAAAGACTTAACAAAACTGTTAGAAACTGATCCAACAAATTCTGAAGCCTATTATTTCAAAGGATTAAGTAGATTGAAAATAAGTAATTTTATTTTTTTATTATAGAGAATGCAACTGAAGCATTACTATGTTTTGAATAAGCCATCAAACATAATAATTCTAAAAAAGCTGTTACTAAATCTTTGTATGAAATAGCTAAGATGAAAATTGAATAAAGAGATTTTTATGCAGCTTATCATACTTTGAATAGATCATCTATGTTAGATACAGAAAAAAGTTATTTAGAGAAATTTCGATTGTTTACTGAAGTAAATTAATCAATTTAAATAGGCTGTTATATTTTTAATGAAAAGAAAATTCTAAGAAAGTATGCTCAATTTTCAAGAAATCTAAAATAATCATTAATTAAATGATTTTTTAAAACCCTTATTTTATGCTTATAGAGCTTATGGAAATTTTTGTTTATCTAAACATTAAAAAGCATTAGATGATTACAAATATCTATTAGAAATTTAACCAGCTGAATCTAGTGTCCATTATAATAAATTTTTATGTGAAGGAATATTAAAAGTATAATCTGGGTTATTCACAGCAGGTATGGAGTTCTTTTAAAGAGCTTAGAAGATATTTTAAAAGAAAATGGAACCAACATTTTATTTGGCTGTTACTTATATTAATTAATCTTTCAAAAAAAAAAGTGATTAGTATAAAGATATTATCAAAGGACTAGAATTATTAGATAAAGCAAATAGTATGAATGATTAAAATGCTAATTTATATTATGTTCGTTCTATTGTTAAGTGTTTTTTAGGCTAAGTAAATGAAGCATTGATGGATATAGAAACAGCAATCTAAAAGTCAGAAGATAATGTTGCCAAATATTTCTATTTAAGAGGGATGATTTTTGGAATACTTAAACAATATAAACATTCTTTAAATGATTTTAGCATTTGTCTAACACTAGATGAAACATTTGCTGATGCTTACTTAAATAGAGCAAAATGTCATTTTTTAAGTGGAGATTCAAATTCTGCTTTCTCAGATTTATAATAATGTATTCAAATTTTATAAGATGATCCAAGAATGCATGTATGGGCTGGTAATTTTTTATTTGCAAATGCTGCTATTGAAGATGCCATTAAAGCTTATTCCAATAATAAAGATTTTAAAAATAATCCAAAATTATTATAATTATGTTCTGAATGCTATATGGTTTTAGGTGATCTTAATTTATGTTAAGAGGATATAAATAGAGTATATAAATTAACAAAAGAGAAGACTGCTGAGTTTGATAAGGATATGCTATAAGCTTTAAGATTAGTATTTAAAGATGATTAATAAATATATTATAATGAGGAAAGTGAAAATGAATAAATTGAATTTAAAAATAATCTAAATAAAGCAATTAATAGTTTAACTTAATTGTGTAGAGGAAATGGTAAATTGTTTCAATAATTTCATGTTTATATATTTCGAGGAGTCTTCTTATTTCATTTAGAAAAATATGAAGATGCTTTAAGAGACTTTTAAATGGCAAAAAGTCAAAAAGAACTTTCTATTACTGAAAAGAGATTAAAATAAAGGGGAAGTTAATCAGATATTTTTAATGATGAGGAATTTCATGAGTTAACTGAAGATGAAGAAGATGCTGATTTGTTAGAAATATTAGAAATAAAATTTAATGAATTAATTTGTTTAGTTATACTTAAGTAATACAAGAAAGCCAAAGAAAAATGCAAATAGTTAATTGAGAATATTAATGAAGCAAAGTAAGAGGGTTTATAAATTTTATTGATGCATATTGAATAAATTCTTATGAGAGATTAACAAAATATTGATTATTAAAGAGTTATATGTCTGTATGATGAACCTAAAGAGAATATTATTTGCTTTTAAGTACCTATTGTATTTGTAAATGGATTAAAAATACGTTTATCATTTAGTTTACCAAAATTGTCTCCTCCATCTTTATCCATAACATTTGATAGAAAACTAGTTTAAGATATTGGAGTATTAATTTAATAATTTATTATTTTAGCCTTTATCTGTTGAAAATAAACCAGAAGCTCCTTGGATAAGAAGAGAATAACAAGATGATATGATCATATTTACAGAAAATGTTTAATTAGTAGATGATATTAGATTAGAAACTGAAAAAGATGATGATCAAACATAACAACAATAATAAATGTTAGAAATTACTTAAATTAAAAATAATCTAATGTTAGATAAAGATATTGAAGAAAAATTATAAAGATTTTTCGATAAAAAAAATAAATAAAAATGATTTATTATATAATTAAATATATATAATTTTTACTGACTAGAAATATAATCTATTGGAAAATCATTTACTTTATTATTGTATTTCAAAATATGAAGGAGAATAGTATACATTTTTTATAGAATTTTAAATTATTTTGTTTTTTCAACTATTATTTAATCCTTTTATATAATAGTATATAATCTCTTTCTTTTTACTATAAATTTTCATATATTTTCTTTTGATTAGAATTGAATATCTATCTATTTATTTAACTCATATTCAATATTTTAGTAATTTAATTAGTATTAAGTCATTAATCTAATTAAAAATTTGTATTATTAGAGAGATTCAATCTAATATGTATTAATTTTTATCTATCATCTGTAAAATATAAATTTTCAATATTCAATAATGGTGTGACGAGTAGTCATTAAAAATTTTAAATTAAATTAAATCTTTTATACAAATAAAATGTCTTTGGTTTTGGAAAAGGCTGATTCATTCAGACACATTATTCGTATTTTGAACACAAACGTTGAAGGAAAATAAAGACTTGCTTATGGTATTAGAAGCATTAAAGGTATTGGAAGAAGATTTGCTATCTAAATTTGCAAGGTATTTAATGTTAATTTATTCATTCTATAGGTTCTCCGTCTTGATCTTACAAAGAGAGCTGGTGAATTGACTGATGATGAGGCTCACAAAATCACAGAAGTCATCAAATCACCAGAAGCTTATAACATTCCAAGATGGTTTTTGAATAGACAAAGAGATTTTAAGGATGGCAAAAATTATTAAGTCACAACAAATGAATTGGAAACCAAATTAAGAGAAGATTTAGAAAGAATGAAGAAAATCAAGTATTTCAATTAAATTATGTTAAGGTGTAATCGTGGTTTGAGACATCATTGGGGATTAAGAGTCAGAGGACAACATACTAAAACCACAGGAAGAGGAGGATAAACTCTTGGAGTTGAAAGAAAGAAGAAGTGATTAATATTTTATTAAGTACATTAAAAATAATAAATGGACTAATTATGGTTTAATGAATGGTATAACTTCTAATTTGTTTGTTAAAAAATTAATATTTCATAACATTTTTTAAAATCAAACTTTATATTTATTTTATTATTCAAATCTCATTAACTCTAAAATAAGTGCATTCTTTCTATCCTTAATAAATCACATAGTAATTTATTTAAAGATTTCTGGCAAGAAAATATTTAATATGATAAAAATAAGGTCTAAATATTTCAAATTTGCTAAACATAGTTCACTTTGAATGTAATAGATGAGATTATAATACAGCTGAATCACTCACTTTCAATAATTGTTAAATAAATAATCAAATTTCTATTTTAAGAATCAAACTATTCTTTTTTTCATTTTACAATAGAATTTGATTAATTTTATAAAAGTAAAATATTATTAGAAGATAGAAGTCATTTAATTTCAAATATATAAAATTACTCCATTACTAAATAATAATCAAACAATATTATGTTAAATGATTTAGGTAGCAAAATATTTATGAAGAATAATAATAATTATACAATTTTCAGAATTATGACATTTTTATATAGTTTAATATATTATAATTTTTGATGAACTTATAATCATATAACATATATATATATATTAATTATCTTTTAAAGTTATCCTTATAAATACAATAAAAGTTTTGAGATATTAAAATTGTTTCTAATTCTTTTTATTAGTTCTTTATATTCTGTTATCATAATTCAACTAATTTTAAAGAATTAAAGGTTTGGAAACAAAAGTTTTTTTGGCATTTCCATTTTATAATTAAATAGAATCTTATTGTTTCCTGTAATCTTAGAAGTTGAATTATTTTAAGAGGAATGATAATTGGTTAGTTTAGAAAGAGAAGTTAACTAATACTAAATATTTTAAATGAGATAACGATGATTTATGATTGCATTAATTAAAATAAACATAATTTATCAGAATTAAAGCTATCATCCCTGATCAGGGATATTAATTTAATATAATTAATAAATTTAATGACAGACACAGTTACATAATCTATTACAAGAAGAGAAAAAACATGGGCTGAATTAGCTGAAGAGGAAGATGAGTATTTGGAAGAATTATAAAATTAAGTTTAATTTTTAAATTATACTAAGAATAAAAATGAATAAAGTCAATTAGCGGGAAAATAATTAACTAACTTTTAGAAAAGAATGATCGAAAGAATACAAAAATATGATAAACTTATTGAAGTAGGTTTATATTAAGTTCCAGAGGATATAAGTAAAGAAGACATTTATATCGCTTTTAAACAATACCATATTAGAGATTGCTATTTCAGAAGATTAAACTGTTTCTTTTATTTACCAAAAGAATAATCCATTAAATTAGTAGAAGAGAGCAATCTAAGAATAACTATAAAAGGTGTGAATCTTTTGATAGTGATGCTACCATTAAAAAATTGATTGATATATAACATTTTCATATCTACTTAGTGATATCATATTAATTGTTCTAATTAACTATAACTAATAGATCCCGGTTTTCTTTCTATATAAAGTTCTGGTTGGGAAACCTTTTAAAACTATTTATAATCTGTGGGATAATCTAACACCTTTTGTATCAAATCTTAATAGCCTATTAATCCTTGTAAGATAAATGCATGCATTTATAACTATATATATATATTTAAACATTTACATCTTCTGGTAAAAGTTAGTCTTGTTTATCAAATTTAATAAATTAGAAATTCTATTTAATTTCTGTTATACTCAATCTCAAATACTATAATGTTGTCTTGTAAAAAGAATCTGATTCAAGTAGATGATTATTACATAACATTCCAATAATTGCATCTTTTTGGAAATCTATTTAAAATTAACAAATTATATACTATTTTTATTAGCTAATTTTAATGTTTTTTCAAAATGTCTCAAATATTTATCTTGATATTCTGAAATTGCTTAACAGAATCTTTTATAAGATTCACTTTTTCTATAGTTTTCAAAATCATTCAAATTGAATATATTTTCTGCTTTATTCTCTTTATCTAAAATTGTGGATAACTTATTTATTTTAATTGCCATATTTTTACCCATTAAAAATAGCAATTTATCTCTGATTTCAGTAGGGAATACTTTAAAACTAGCTAAATGTTAAGAAAATTTATATAGGAAACGACAGAAATTGATTTAACAGAATAAAATCTCGTTATTTTATTTAAACTCTAGTGTTATAGATTTTTATTTCTATAAAGGAGGAGTAGGTTACAATTATTCTTCAAAAGCATTTGTTTTAACTATTTTTTACGGTAAAAGTAATTAATTTTAACTTGAAGATCGCTATATTTATTCTTCAAGCTTTTTTTGATTTTCTTCATGTAATTTACGCTTATCCTCTATCTATTGAGGTTTGAAATCTCTGATTGCATTATCTTTAATGTTCTAACTTTGACTTCTTTTAATTTTCTTTACTTAAGAGTTTTCAGTTGGTAAAGTGATATTTTGAATTTGTTTTAAAGGTTTTCTTTTTTCAATTGGACTTAAATTTCTTGATTGCATTATAGTATGCTCTATCATATCCTTAACTCGCCATCTCTTAAATTCATCTATCTACAAACATTTACGGATGAAATCCTTTGATTCATCAGAGACCATAGGTGAAGAAGGTAGAACTAATTATTAATGTTAGATGTTGGAAATTAGAGCTGCTTCAGATGATGCATTATAAGGTGTTCTGCCTATCTCAATATCAATAAAGCATTACCATATAACATTTCAAAAAATACAATACCAATTGCCCAAACATCTCCTTTTTCAGTGTGTCCTTACTATCTCAAAGCTTAAGGAGACATATATAAAGGAGTTCCTACATTAAAATTTCTGCCTTATATTCTGGCTTCATAAGCAGGGACTGCAAATCCGAAATCAGCTAATTTTGGTTGATTATCATTGAGTAAAATGTTAGCTGGTTTTATATCTCTATGGATATAACCTTTCTTATTCATTTCATTTAATGCACTAACTACTGCTTACAATATTCTTATAGCTTCAGATTCATCTATTTTTCCTTTCTTTCTGATGTAATTGTTTAGATCACCCTGAATTATATATGAGACATTACCGAGTCACAAAATTCTGTTATGATATAAGTATTATTTTAGGTTTAAAATACATCATAGAGTTTCATAATATTTTTATGGTTAAAGGCTTTAAGTGCATTGATTTCATTTTTTAATAGCTGGGAATGAATTGATTGCTTCACCATCTTCATATCAATAACCTCAATTTTAAGTAATTATGTTACTTTAACAGCCACATTTTCTGCTGTGTTTTCATCTCTTCCTTTATAGACTCTACTACTAAATCCTCTTCCTATTTCTTCATTAATGGCATAGGAATAGTGATCAATTGCTTTCCTTGTTTCACTTCCTGCTTTATTATGAACTGATTTATATTACAAAATGATTACATTACGTCCTATAAGCAGATTGAGATGTGGCATAAGATGGCAAATGAGGGCGGGTTTAGAACATTATTTGAAAATAATTAAATTTCCTTATTAACGATTTTCTAAATAAATATAATCGAATTAATTATTATAAAAATACTATCTATATTTAAATCTCATATTAGAATAGAAATATTATAAAAATCAATTTTCATTAGAAGTAATCAACCTTTGTTTTTTTAAATGACTTTTTATTAAACAATCCTGAAGTATTAATTTCTTCATTTTTAATATTTTTTTATTACATTTATGGTAAAATATCTCCTAATTCAACATCTTTGTCTGCCAATTCTATTAATTTTTATTATAATATTCTATTTTTATCTTTTCCTATTTATCCAAATACTAAGACTTCTTTAACAAATTCTTATTAATTTTTGATTGTGCCTTCTTTAATATCTTTATCAATTTTCTATGCTAATTATTCTTCATGATTTAATTCTGCTTCACCTTCTTCTGACTCAGAAGTTTCTACCTTAAATTTATTTAAAAATGTGTCTTCAGTTTTAACAACTTCCCAA